GTCTGTTCCAGCGGACCCGCTCCGTGTGCTAACCCAGGGTGACTGTCCAGCTGTTTGTTGAGCTTATATGCTGGGCTCTCAATAGACTCATGTCAGCTGGCCCTGGGAGCCTTAGAGAGAACAGGAGGGAGCAGTGGCTCCTCGGACCCTTCTCACAGCCAACCCCCACCTCCAGGAGCGGGAGGCAGGCAGGCACCAGGTTTAGGGAAGTTGTGGGGCAGCCCTCCTGGCAGCCGGCTGATAAGGCACTGCCCTGGTGGGGGTGGGAAGGCTACAGCCCTCAGGAGCAAAGTGCAGGAGCCACATGGGGTGGGGAGGGACTGACGGTGAGCCAGGAGGGATTTCATGTGTCCTTCCCCAAGAAATAAATAAAGCCAAGCCGTCGCCTCGGTCTCCCCAGAAAGCCGCCAGCTCCCCAGCCTGTGGTGGCTCGGCTCTCCGGGACCGCGGTGGGCGCTATCAGCCTTCTCATCGCCTCTCCCAGCTGGAGGAGAATTTAATCCACAGGCTCCTCTCCACACACTGGGGCTCCTTTTGATGTTTCTCTTTATCTCCCTTCCCAACAAAATCACGCCTCTGCAGCTTCAAGAGCCCCTCCAGCCTCCTCTGCACCTTCACCCCACGAAGGCAGTCCCCCCACCCCCACGGGACAAGGGCATGGAGGAGGCCTAGCAGGGAGGTGGGTGTGCCCTCCACCAGCCCTGGCTTCATGCCCTGACCTGAGCTGAGGCTCTTGTGGGCCTCCTTCTGCCACACGTGGCACAGGGAGGGGTTCACTATGCCAGCTGCTGTGTTCTGTAGTGGGAGGGCCAGGAGAGCTAGGTTGTTACGAACTCTGACTGCCCCGGCGTGGCGGCAGGACAGACCTGAGTTCCAGTCCTTCCGTAGCTGCTGTGTGGCTTGAACACTTACCCTTTCTGGTCCGTTTCCTTCTCCAAGAAAAGGAATGGATTGACTCTTCTTTGGGCTGTCTTGTGGATTCTGGTTAAGGTGTGTGACGCCTGTATGGTAGCCAGGCTTCGCAAATGGAAGCTGTTGATGGAGCCAACATGGAGAAACTCTATCTCTACTAAAAATACAAAAATTAGCCAGGCATGGTGGCGCGTGCCTGTAGTCCCAGCTACTCAAGAGGCCAAGGCAGGAGGATTGCTTGAACCCGGGGGGCAGAAGTTATAGTAAGCCAAGATAGTGCCATTGCATTCCAGTCTGGGCAATAGAGCAAGACTCCATCATAGAAAAAAAAAAAGTTTCAGCAGCACAGGGCTGCAATCAGTAGGGGTTTTGTACCAACTTAGCAAACTGGAATATCTCTCTCAAACACGCACCCATCCTGAGGGCTGACAGTCACAAATCCAGACCAGGCGGAAATTGGCCAGCTGGTAAAGTTCTAGAAGGAACAGGCTGAGCATTTTAGAGGACTCGGTCAGTAGGTGATCCCGAGGGCCTCAGGACATGTGTCCTGACCACTTCAGTGTCTGGCCTGAGTGAGCTTCCAGCCCCTGGCGGCAGATCAAGGAGAAGGGAGCAAGTTTCATTCATGGAGTCCCCAGAAGTGCTCCTAAAGGGGTCAGGAAGCCGTCCTGAGGGCTTGTCCCCCACTGAGTACTCCTGCCTCACCAGGTAGTTAACCAGAAGCTACACTGAACTCACACCATCTTCCAGACATCTTTGAGCTCAGGCATCACTGACTTCACACCGTCTTTTCAGTCGCTCACTGCTGACCACAGCCTGCGCACTGACAGTGCCGCCCCAGCCGACACACGGCTCTTCCTAAGCCTTCTCTGCTCATCCACTGTACCTTTCAGGCCAATTCTCTTCCGTTCTGTCTTGCTCCTTCCCAGCATCACTCTACCACGTGGTTCTCAGCTATTAGTGAGCATCAGAATACCTGGAGGGCTTGTTAAAACAGTACAGGGCAGATCCCCAGAGTTTCTGACTCAGAAGATCTGGGCATGGCCCCCAAATTTTGCATTTCTAACAAGATCCCTGTGATGCTGATGCAGTGGTCCCAGGACTACACTTGGAGAACCACTGTTCTACCCTTGTAGTTCTCATCCTTGGATACACGTTGGAATGAATAACTGGAGAGCTTTACAGAATGCAGATGCCTGCATTTCCACCCTCTCTACCAGTCTGGTCTCCACGATCTAGGGTGCAGCATTGGCAGGGGGTATTTTAAGGCTCCCCAGGTAATTTTGGTATGGGGCCTGTAAAGAACTACCCCTCTGTGCCTCTCCCGCTGCTCAGCTCTTTCTGGACTCCTGTGGGTGCCTCCAAGCTACTCTCCCTGCCCCAGTGATGTCTTCCCAACCCTGGCTGTGCAAGGTGGTTCCCTGGGGAGCATCAGAAAATCGCAGCTTTTTCTAGCTCCCAGAGATTATGACACGCTGGCTCTGGGCATCTGCATTTCTTTTTAGAACTCCATGGGTGATTCTGATGTGCATCTAGGGTGAGGAGGGGAGCACCAGTGTGAATTGCATGTGGCTGCAAGGTTATCCCCCTTCCCCCTGCTGCAGAGCTAAGAATGCTCCCACTTGCTCATGGAAATAATGCCACCCTCAGGATGGCATCTGCCTGGGACTCCAAGCTTCTCTACATGGACCCTTTGCAAATAGTAAGTCATTGATTATTCTTCTCCATACTCCGTGCCTTTACTTAAGAAAGTGCTCTTCAAAGGATGGCTTTGATCAGCATCAGCATCAGCATCAGCATCAGCATCAGCATCAGCATCGCCTGGAACTTGGTTAGAAATGCAAAGTCACAGGCTCCAGCCCTGGCCTATAGAATCAGGAATTCCTGGGGGAGGGAGGAGAATGGAGGAGCAATCTACAGTTTAACAAACCCTCCAGGTGATTCTGAGACACGCTAAAGCTCTGAGGATCAAGAATTCGGTGTTTAAAGCCGCTTTCTCCACCTGGAATCCCTTTTCTGCCAGTCCAAGAGTCTGAAAATAATACCTTCTGAGCAGGCACAGTGGCTCGCACCTGTAATCCCAGCATTTTGGGAGGCAAAAGTGGGCAGATCACTTGAGGCCAAGAGTTCGAGACCAGCCTGGCCAACAGGCAAAACCCTGTCTCCACCAAAAAAATACAAAAAATTGCCAGACGTGGTGGCGTGCGCCTATAGTCCCAGCTACTCGGGAGGCTGAGGTGGGAGAATCACTTGAACTTGGGAGGTAGAGGTTGTGGTGAGCCGAGATTGCACCTCTGTACTCCAGCCTGGGCTACAGAGTAAGACTCCATCTAAAAAACTAGATAACCTTCCTTCGTTTCTAACACCAGCTCAGAACTCTCCTTCTTGGGGCACCCTCCCCTTCTTGGCCTCCTCTTAGACTGGGCCCTGGAGTGCTCAGATGGTAAATCTCAGTTTGCTCTGGTAACTAACATGGCTGACTGTGTGGCCAGTGCATTTCACACCATGGATTTGCACTGCCATTGGGGAATGCCTGCATTAGACCTGAGCTCTACTTCCTTGGCCTGGGCAGCAGCATGGGGTTGTGGGAAGGTGCACTAGCCTAGGAGCTGGGCCCCGCCTCTTTGTATTTTTTTTTCTTTTGAGATGAAGTCTTGCTCTGTAGCCCAAGCTGGAGTGCAATGGCACCGTCTCAGCTCACTGCAACCTCTACCTCCTGGGTTCAAGCAATTCTCCTGTCTCAGCCTCCCAAGTAGCTGGGATTACAGGCATATGCCACCATGCCTGGCTAATTTTTTTGTATTTTTGTAGAGACAGCGTTTCACCCTGTTGGCTAGGCTGGTCTTGAACTCCTGACCCCAAGTTATCCACCCACCTCAGCCTCCCAAAGTGCTGGGATTATAGACGTGAGCCACTGCACCTGGCCTGGGTCTGGCCTCTTATGCCCTCCTCTGCCACCAGCTCCCTGTGCAACCTCAGGCTGCTCAGTCAACCTCTCTGAACTCAATTCCACTGGAGGGGTCCGTAGGAAGAGCAGCAGTAACATGCGAGGAAAGGCTGCAGAAGCCCAGCCACTTCCTGGGCACCCACTGTGTATCATGGTCTGCAGGGGAATTTTCACTGCCTGAGGCATGGTCTACAGCCTCAAGAGGCTCTCAACATTCCAGAGTAATCATGGAGGGAACTGTAACCTAGTGATGGAAGCTTTCTGCAGCCATTAAGGAAAATGAGGCAAATACTTGGTACTTACAGAGTGTTTAGAATAGTGCCTGAGCAAGAGTAGGTGCTATGCTGTTAGTGTCCTCGTTAGCAGCATCATCTATATGTACAGTTACGGACGAATCACCAAGATGCAGTTCTGAGTGAAAATATCAGATTCAGAGCAACATGCATAGTATGCTGTTAGTGTTACAGTAGGGTGGCATATACCCATAATGGTCATATAGGCATGGATTTTTTGGGGAAAGAGACCTGGGAATGGGGTGTGGTGGCTGCCCTGGCAGGTTTATCGGTACCTGGGCTCAGGGGGAGAGGGAGAGGCATGTCTGGCCTTTACACTTTTGAACTACTACAAAATTTGCCACGTCCCTGCTTATCATGTCTCTGACATTTTTATGTTAGAAAAATAAAAACATGGTGGTGTTTGGGGCTGTTTCCTGCAGGGATTTTATCAAGGCTCCGGGAATGTAGGGTGCAGGGATAGCCCCTCCCTTCCCAGCCTACACTGTGGCCTTCTGGATGAGAGTGGACAGAGATCAGGGAGACAGGAGCCCTTGCCCCCTCCTCTCACCTCCTCACCCTTCATGCCCTTGAGCCTCTTCCTTCTGGGCCCCATGCTTGTCCCTCTTCTCCACTCCCCAGCACACACGTGTGCACACTCACACAATACACCTCCTCCAAACCCCAGAAGCTGTGGCCCGTCAGAGGCTGGGACAGCTTCTCCTCTAGGGTGTAGTCCTGGGGTCCCTCCCCTCCCCTGACCCAGAGTCTTACCTTCTTTTCTTTTCTGGTTCCTCCCTCCTCTCCATACCTCTCCGGCTCCTTCTGTCTGTCTCCATATCCTTTGACTGACCGACTCCCACTGACAGAATTTGGTAAGTGAGCATCGGAAGGGAGGGGGCTGGGCTTGGGGAGGGCTCATGGTGGGCAGGGTGGGGAGGGGGCTTTGAGAAGGACACAGCTCAACCCTCTCCCACCCTCTCAGGCCCCCAGCTCCTGGGGTTGAGGGACCAAAATTTCCGGGGAAGAAGAGGAGTTGGCGTCACCTGTTCAAAGCTGTCACACCCTGCTGGCTTCAGCTGTTAGTGCCCCTTTGGGTACTTAATTGATCCCTTCTGTCTGACGGGTTGCATTTCATATGAGGGAGCGCTGCAACCTCCACAGCCCAGTAGGCCCAGAGGAGCGTTGCCCCCACATCCCCTGGGGAGCCGCTTTGGGGTGGGGCTCTGGAGCCCTGCAGCTTGCCTGGGCCCCAGAATTGGCAAGAGAGGGCTCAGGGAGCTCAGCTTCTACCTCTCCATCCAAACCTCTATGCCAGTGACAGGGCACATAAGAAAAGTCTAAATGCAGCAAGTGTATTTACCAGTTTGCTAAAATGGGAAAAACCCAAGAGACTGATGGGTAAACATGAGCATGCATTCATTCCACAGGTGCATTTGAGCATTTGGGGGGTAGCCCCAGGGGCCTGTGGATCTTGTGAACTCTCAGGCTTCACTGAGGGTATTATTTCTGGGTGGAACTCTCCACTCTGAGTGGGGTGGAAACCAGCCTTGCAGGGACTATCCCCTTGGACCGTGGAAAGTCTTTGAGGCCAGGGTGACTGGCAGCCCCCCTCTCACCAGGAACAGGTTCCCGAGAGGAGTCCTGCAACATCCCCTAAGCAACCAAGAAGTGAGAGAAGGCTTCCCTTGCCAGCCACTGGTTCAAGAGAAAAGGCCCATGTGCAGAGGGGCTGAGCTGGCCACTAGGCTAGGGGGAGGCTATGCACCATAAGCCAGAGCTTCTGCTTCTGCACTGAAAGCCAAGGTCAGTGACCACTGGGCACCTGCAAGGGGGTCAGGAGGAGGCTGTTACACATCACAGGCCACCTGTCCAGCTGGAGGGGAGTTTGGGGGGTGCAAGGAATCCCTCTGCCCCCAGTGCAGTCAGAAAGAGGAAATGGAATCACTTTCTGAGCAGGCCAGACCTCAGGGAGTCAGTAAGCTGAATCTCCCACCTTCAGCCATGTCTCCTCCCCCTGATCTGGAGACTTCAGTCATGTCACATGCTTTGTGTAAGGAGAGTCAGGTAGCATCTGAGGGGCTCTGTGAGCCACAGCCCTGGTTAGAATGATCAGAAACATCTGAACTGGAGTGAGGCAGCCACCTCCCTGAAACAGTGGGCTTGGGCTGCTGGGACGCAGCAGAACCTGTGATGAGGGTGGCCACCCTGTGCTGGCCACAGCGTGGGGTCCCTGGCCGTTCACGTTGCCACTCAGTCTCTGGGTTATTCCCATTTCATGTGGCAGCAAACCAGTGTTCTCCCTGATGGATGCGTTCCAGAGGAGGGGAAGGACAGTGTCTGTGTCCCTCAGCATCCTCTTCTGCCCAAGCCTGTGGTGACCACTTAACTGCTTCTCTTCCCTCCACTCCCCTCACACCCTCTCTCCTCTTCCTTCCTTCATCTCCCTGCTGGGTCTTGCAGCTGACCGGTCCTTCCGCAGCTGGGGTCACTGGGGCAAAGAAAGGGGGCAGGAGATGGAAAGTGAACCAAGCCACCTGGAGGGGACACTGCGCATCAGACACAGAGGTTTCCAGAGGGCCTAGATGTGGGCAGGTCATGGAGTCTGGGAGCCACGCGCGCGTGGAAAGCCCTGCTCCGTCCCAGCACCTCATCCACTGCCCCATCCAGAGCAGCTCAGGGCTCACTCTCGGGCGGCTCTCTCCTCCATTTGGATCTGGGCTTTGGCCACTGTGCCCTTCCTAACTGGCTTCTTCTGCACTCTTGACCCAGGGCCTGAACAGCATGTTTGAGGTGTACCTGGTGGGGAACAACTCCCACCACTTCATCATCTCCCCGACCTCCGTCCAGGGGAAGGCAGACATTCGTATTCGGGTGGCCATCCCACTGGACTACGAGACTGTGGACCGCTACGACTTTGATGTAAGGCCCCTGCTCACTGGCGTTTTGGAGTGGGGTGGGGCCGGATTTTAGCGGATGCAAGGGGAAGGTAGAAGATTCCCTTAGATCCACCTTCCACAGCTGCCCATCTTGTGGATCTGACTCACAGATCACAGATCACACAGGCTGGGCTGAATCTCCCCTTTCCAAGGAGCAACAGGATATGTCCAGGAATGGAGTGAAATTTTACCGGGCTCCTATCAGGAGCTTCTGCAGCCCATCTCCTGCCAGATGAGCCCCTGCTCGCTCCTCCTGTACTAGCCGAATCAGTGGCTATCCCTAGAGCAGTAATAGATGGGCCCACAGTAGCACACAGCTGGATGGGCAGAGACTCTTAACAGGTGTTCTGGACTGGGGCTGGCAAAGGCACAGAGAGGATTCACAGGGACAAGGACTCTGGGAGGGGACATGTGGGAGCTTACCTGGGCCCCTGTTCTGCACACCCAGCTCTTTGCCAATGAGAGTGTGCCTGACCATGTGGGCTATGCCAAGGTGAAGATCGCGCTCATCAATGAAAATGACAACCGGCCCATCTTCAGCCAGCCACTGTACAACGTCAGCCTGTATGAGAACGTCACTGTGGGGACCTCTGTGCTGACAGTCCTGGTGAGTCCCCACTCTCCTTCAGGGCCACTGAGCTCTGGGGCCGACTGTGGTGAGGCACCCAGAGAGATTTTGTCCAAGGGACCTGGACAATCAAGGAAGGAGGTGCCTCCTTAATACCCAGGCTATGTTTGTTGGTGTATGAAATAAAGCTTCTGGAATCTTTATGAGGGGGCTCCTGGGCCTAGGCTGCAATATGGAAAAGGAGCCAATCTCGGGAGGGGGTGACAAGACTGGGCTGAGGACAGTGATTTCCTGCCTTTCCCCTGAGAGACTCAGTGAGGGTAGGCCGGGAGCCCTGGAAATCCCCTTGAATGGGTGGGGAGGTGCCAGTCATCCTGAGGAGGGCCACCCTCTGCATCTGAGCACAGGCACCAGAAAGGGACAGGCTTCTGAAGGTGCCTGGGCATTTCCTACTGCCCATGGCTGGACTTGCCCTTTGACAAGGGGCCCTCCCAGTGGCATCTGTATCTGTCAGTACTCTTGGTTGCAAGGGACAAACACCTGTAGGTCAAGCAAAAGAGGATCGGCTCGTGTAACTCAAAAGTGCAAGTGATTTAGGCGGGGCGCGGTGGCTCACACCTGTAATCCCAGCACTTTGGGAAACCAAGGTGGGCAGATCACTTGAGGTCAGAAGTTACAGACCAGCATGGCCAACATAGCAAAACCCTGTCTCTAAGCCAGGCGTGGTGGCATGTGCCTATAGTCCTAGCTACTAGAGAGGCTGAGGCCGGAGAATCGCTTGAACCCAGGAGACAGAGGTTGCAGTGAGCCAAGACTGCATCACTGCACTTCAGGCTGGGTGACAGAGCGAGACTCAAAAAAAAAAAAAAACAAAAAAAAAAAAAAAAAAATGCAAGTGATTTCAGACATGGCTACATCCAGGCGCTCAGTGGAGCAGGGCTGTCTTCAACACTGGACTCTGCTTTTTTGTATTGACAAAGAGAGGCAGCAGCACCTCTAGGCTGACTTCTTACCAATTTATCAACCCTAGTCGGAAAAATTCTTTTGCTGTGATTCCAGCAGATTCTCATCAGCCCAGTTGGTTGGGCCATCCTGGAACCAATCAACCAATCGTGATTCTCGGATGCCAGGGAGGGATCATACTCCCCCTAGTGGAGCCAGGGGTTGGGATCAGCCCCGCCTAAATGATAATTGGCTGAGAATGGGGAAGGGGCTTCTATTCTAATACAAGGGATTGAATGCTAAGCAGATCCAAGTGGTAGATGTGTGCTACACAAGCTCAGAGCCTTGCCCATAGTCGGTGCTCAATAAATGGCATGGAGTTTAACTCATTGTGTTCCCCTCCCTGCACACCTGGGACCACAGAGTGCTTGCCTCCGTTTCTTGCTCCTTCCCCACTCCAAGCAGAGACATTGCCTGTGATACTGAGACCCCGATCGAAAGTGTGTTTACTCTACAGACAGATGGTATGAAACTGCACTGAGCCCCAGGCCCTTCCCATCTGACAGTTATTAATATTTCAAACAGATGTCGAGCTAGTCAGGCTGTCAGACGTAAACAATAATTCTGCAGCAGCTGTTTTTTCCACCCCCCATGTCTCTAGCCTGTGACTCCTCCAGCTTTCACCAAGGTGCTCCCTGCGATAAATCACCAGGTGCTTGAGGCCTCCTGGACCCTCTTCCAGCCTCTCAGAGACCAAGTACCAGAGGCTCTGGCCTTCTGGACCCAAAGCGTGTGTCTTTACCCACCATCCACCTTCGAATGACTGGGTAAAGGGAAGGCAACAGCCTGTGCTTTTGAGTTCTCGGTGAGGGAGGGGAGGCTCTGTCCCCTGCAGGTCTGGGACCATGTGGCAGAGAATTCTAGTGTCAGATCCAGGTGCAGTGGGTGTCAGGGGATTCCTTCCCCACGCTCTTGCTTGAGAGAGTTTCCCCACTTTGTAGTCCCGAGTTCCCACGATCCTTGGAAAATGATGGGAGAAACCTTTGCCAATTCATGGGTGATGCTGGTGGCTCTAGGTTGTACGGTTTGTTCCCTCGTATCCCAGGCTGCTCTGATACTCACCTTCCAATCCTGCCTCCTGACCTGACAATAGAAGTCAGATGAGAAGGCCAGGGAGTGTCTTATCCTGGGGCCCTAATAGGCATGGGGCAGCCCTGCAGCCTGGCCAGTGTCTGGGGCCTGGCAGGGTTTGTGGGTGCTACTGACAGTAAGAGAGGTACAAGAGTAATCTAATCATGCCTTCGTTCGTTCACTCAACAAGTGTTTGTTGAATACCTGAGGAAACATGGTGATATGAGTGTTGTAGTTGGCCGGTGGTGCCAAGGACAGCTGTGTCGGGCCCAGCCCGTTCTGGGGCTAGTGCTGGGGAGTAGGCTTTGGCGAATGCGAGCCAAACCCCTCATACCAGGTTTTCATCCAGAGCTGGGGCAGCTCCTGGGCCTGAGCTCAGCCTCCTCTGTGGGTCACTTGGAGCTGGCAAATCCGGCCAGCCTCCCCGGGCTCCTGGCTGCCTTCACCCAAGCCTTACCCAAACCCTTCTCAAGCCCCCAGCCCCAGGGTTTATGAAATCATGAAGAGTGAGGGCCCATTTCATCAGGTAACAGTATTCACAGTAGGACTGTGAGCCTAAAGGAGCTCAGGCCTGCAGGGAGACAGTGGGGACCCACGTGCTGGCCTATGCATGCCACTCTTAGCGCCTTCATTTTCTCATCTGCAAAATGGGCCCCAGAGCTAGTAAGTGACTAAACTGGAATTCTGTTCCTGTAAAGGGGATATAAAAACATCCTGGGTGACCCACCTACCCATCATCCTCTCCCAGTCTCCCCAGGGTATTTCCTGGCCACACCCCCGTATCAGCCTGCCCTCCTTCACCTGGCAGCTCTCTGCTCAGACCCAGGGTCAGCCCACTGTCTCCACCTCCTCTGCCATAAGAGGGGTTGAAGTTATAGCTGCCTGCTCAGGGACTGTGAAATTCCTTCTCCCTGACCTTTTCTGGGATGTTATTAAAATGTTTCATGGGCAGTTGTGTCAGGAAAAAAATTATGAAGAAAGGGAAAATGTTTTAATTTGCACAGAAGGCAGGAGCAGAGCCTCCCCAGCCCCCATCCTGGCGTGGCCCTGCTTCAGTGGCTGGTCCCCTGTCCTGGGGGAAGGTGGTCATTTGACAGTGGCTTGGGGAAGCTGAAATAAGGAGAGCTGTCACCACCAACCCAGGTGTCCTGGCGGGGGTGGAAGGGCCAGACCTTCTCACCTCCCTGCTCCCTAGGTCTTACAGTCCCCAGTTACAGCAAAATGAGCTTCCACTGGTGGCAGGGAAAGAGTGGGGACACCCCTACCCACACAGTCTGTGCTGGCAGAACCCACACATACAAAAAGGCCACCTTGTATATACAGGGATTTTGACTACCTGGAATACTGTACTTTCCATCCGAACTTGGTTGAAAAAAATTTGCGTATAAATAAACCCACACAGTTCAAACCTGTGCTGTTCAAGGGTCAACTGTATCTCTAACCTGTTAAGTAGGTGCTGTTATTCTCACTTTACAGATGAGGAGACAGATGAGGCTTAGGGAGTTAAGTCACTTGCTCAGGGTCCCGGGGCTAGTACATGACTAAACTAGATTCATACCGTTCCATATCCCAAGCCACAGGCTCTTAACCACGAGGCCACCCATCCAGAAGGTTCTATGTCAGACCACTGAGCCTAGTCCTTTCAGCAACATTCAGAACTCTGAGGGTAAAGAGAGCAGCTGGAAAGTGCTCTCTGCAGTACCCACGGGGACAGGTCCCAAGGTCGCTCCAGGCATCGTGTTCTTAGGTGACACTCAAGACTCTTAGGGCCTGTGGCACCACCAGGTGGATTTTCACCTCTGTGGGCCCTAAGCTGCTCCGGGGACAGAGCTGTGTGAGTGTTTTCATTGGCGGAGAAACCACTTCAAGCACTTGGCTCAGGGAAGCAGGAATACCAAGGCAGCCCAGAGCTGTGTCCATTAGGAAAGGCCTCCTGGAAGGAGGGAGGGTCCAGGATGAATGTGCTCTGAACAGTGATCACACAGAGGAAGGATGTGCAGGGGTGTATATGTGTATATGTGTGCAGGCATGCGAGGTATGCTTGTGGGGTGTATATGGGGATGTATGTGTAGCCAGGCATGCTTTTGTGTGTCTGTGCATGTAATATGTTTGCAACTATGTATACTCAGGGGTATGTGTGTGTAATATACACATGTGTGTGCTTGTGTGCATGTGCACATGTTACAACTGCATTTGGGCATGTGCATGCACACGTGTTGTGTGCACCTGTGTGTGTACATGTATGTGTGTGTGCCGATTCATGGATGATGCTGGTGACTCCCCTTCCTCTAGGTTGCGTGGTTTGTTCCCTCTCATATCCCAGGCTGCTCTGTGATTCTCACCTTCCAATCCTGCCTCCTGACCTGGCAACAGAAGTCAGAGGAGAAGGCCAGGGAGTGCCTTATCCTGGGACCCTGCCAGCCTGCAGCCTGGCCAGTGTGTGGGGCCCGGCAGGGTTTGTGGGTGCTACTGGACAGTATGAGAGGTACAAGAGTAATCTAATCACATATTCATTCACTCATTCAACAAATGTTTGTTGAATATCTGCTAGGTGTTAGGCACACGGCCCTGAGGACACATGGTGATGAAAGTTTACAGTCTTTTAGGAAAGCTGGACTAAGAAAGACATGAATCTTTACATTAAGTGTTACTTGCTGTGATGGAGAGATCAGGGAGCTACAAGAACCTATCATGGGGTACCCGACCTTGCCTAGGGTCCAGGAAGGCTTCCCTGAGGACGTGGCATTTGAGTAAGCATTAACTGGTGAATGCAGACAGGGAATAACATTGGAGAAAAGAGGCCGGGAACAGTGGGAGGCTGAGGTGGGAGGATCACCTGAGCCCAGGAGGTTGAGACTTCAGTGAGCAGTGATCACACCACTGCACTCCAGCCTGGGCAACAGCGTGAGACCCTGTCTCAAAAAAAAAAAACCCACTGGAGGAGAGAACAGCATGTGCAGAGGCCC